TCAACAATGGAGAAATTCACGTAAGTTGATTTAAGTCTTAATATAACACCCAATATGATATATTAAGGCTAGGACCCAACAAACTATTTTATAACTTGGAAGAGGGATGCCGTAATCCAAGCTATAAAATATTTGAAGGTAGGTGAATGACGATTCACCAATTTCCACCAAGATAAACGAAATGTATTATTAGGTTTTATTGGTTTTGAAACTCCTAGATTCTTTTGAGATTCATTGAACTTTTCAAAGGCATGTTTCAATCTCGAGTGTGCCCTTCAGGTTTTGGTACCCTTAATATTTACCCCTCAATCGATGTGCCGGTTAACCACACACGCTCCACCGATACTATGATAAACATTAAGTTACCCTTTGCCTACCTTGTTAAATCCAGTTAGTGTGCCGGTTAACCACACACGCTCCACTAACGCTTAAACAAAGTGCAAAGTGTAATTTCATGGATTAGCACCTTATTCACATTTTCCTAAGTAACTAAGATTGGGAATTATAAGTGTTTAGTTACTTAGTATTTATCATTATACTTTTATGAAGGGAGAATTATAGTCCTTGTCCTACCCGTTCGGCTAACGACCCTCCACCGGTCAAGGAAACGGTGGGTGAGAGTGGACACCCATTAAACTGCCATTTTATAGGCAGTAACCTTATACCCCCTTATAGACCGGCTTCGTGAATGAGGCCTACTAATGGTAAGACGACTTGCTCTTATACATATAATATATTAAATTTTAATATTATAATAGTATAAGGGTGTATTTTAGACATTTAAAATACTTGGTGGTTTAATCTATTAATTAAACTATACTTTTAATTTAATTAAAATCAAACCATATATTTATGATTATAATACTCTTTTAATTAAACACTTTAATTAACTATTAATAAAGTCCATAAGAGTTATTTGAACTATTCAACAAAACATCATAATTCCAATTATTAAACTCAAAATTAAAACCATTTAATTAATTGTTTAAGTTATGAACCAAAAGAGTTTTAGAATTCAATTCTTTTTTCATAAAAAACTTTTCTCAAATTCCAAAACTTGAGGGCAAGTTTTGTAATTCTTGAAAACCTTTGGATTCCATAACTTATGGAATTAATGGTGTTTTATGATGAAACTTTCCATGTTCCATAACTTAAGAACAGTTATGGAATTCTTTAAAACATTAACACCAAATTTTGTAACTCCATAAAAACTTTGAATCAAATTTTAAAAAAAAAAACTTTCATATCCATAACTTATGGAAGTTTCAAAAATCCTTAAGATCACAACTTTAAAAAAAACTTTTGAGCTCCAAAATTTATGACAAAATATGTAACTCCTTAAAACATTTAGATCAAACTTTTAAAACTAATAAAATAATCATACCATTTTATCTTTTACTAGATTTGACCTAATTCAACTCATATAACAAATGATTCAAATTTTACAAATAATTCGTTTTTCACAAAACAAGTAATTATCTTAAAATTTGACAAACGTCATGTTTTTTTTCCCTTTTTTTCCAACTTGAAAATAAACATTTGCATCAATATAACAGAAAACAACCAGGCTGATACCACTGTTGGGTTTTGAGCATTCTAACACTCCTATGGTGTACATGCAACCCTATAAACCTTGGATCTATGTTTTCTCTATTTACATGCAAATATAACTATTCCAAGGTTCATCCTAACTAGCATATTATGAATCACCTACACTACAAAGTTCTAGTTAGATGACATACCTTTTGATGTAGCTTGATGTCTTCAAGCTTTAAGAGCTTAGCCCCAATAGTGTGGAAGCCTCAAATGGAATCACAAATCACCAAAACACCTTGGAAGAACTTGAGAGAATATGTATGCACACTAAAATCGGCCCACTCTTATTTTCACACACTTGTTAATTTTGTGAGCCAAGGACCCCTTTATATATTATGGAGGATTAGGGTTACATCCATGTAAACCCTAATACCCATGACCTTTCATTTACATAGGATCCATGGGTTAAAACTCCATGGACTATCCATAAAGACTTAGCCCAACCTAAATGAACTTGGCCCACTACACATATATATATATCTAAGAGTCCATATTTAATTAGTTTCTTTTGATCACTTAATTAATTATAAATTAATTCTTGATCAATACTATTAAATAATATGATTATATATTATATATTAGAACTTATAATATATTAATATAAATCATAAATATACTATTCTCAAAAGACTATCCATATAAATTGTGTCGGTGAAGTGCAACCCAAATGGACCATGCCGGGTCGGGTCAAGTACATACCAAATATAGTTATGGACTTAGACATTAATCCAACAGCTTCCACCTTTCTCTCCATGCATGGCCTTTTGGAGCTTAAAAGGCCAAAATGACATCCATTAGCTTGTATGGGGCTTCAATGGCCATAAAGTTTGCACCTTTATGCCATGAAAGCCCTCCATGGTTCCAGATCTGATGGTAAACTCTCTTGGGACGTCCATTTCCCAAAGGTCATGCTTCTTGAACCAAAAACCCAATAATATGATAGTAAGAAGATCTAAGAAGTTACTAAGCAAGTTTGAGACTTGCTTACCAGGAAATGATGAGAATGAAATGGAGTCTCTGGATCTACTAGCTTCCTATTGAATCCTCAAGCTTCTTCTTATTCCACAAGCTTCAAACACACAAAACTTCACTAAAAAAAGGCTCACAAGCTCACAATTGCATTAGGGTTTCTGGATCTAGGGTTTGGGACCTGGAGGCTGTAAATGGGGCTTACATGAGGGGATTAAGATGCTCAAATAGGGTGCATAATCCCAAAATTAAGGTTTCACTCTGGCAGTCTTACTCGTCGAGTTGAGGCTTCCAACTCGTCGAGTAGACTTCAAGACCCGCGTCCAAAACCATTCCTTACTCGACGGGTTTGGGGCCTCCAACTCGTCGAGTTCCTCTAAAAATATGAATAAATTTATAATTTAAATACATACTAGGAAACCGGTGTTACAGACCAATGATATTTTGGGAATTTTTATTAATCTAGAATGGGAAATATTTTGATTATCAGGATTCAAGTAGTGATGGTTGTCGGAGCAGAGATTCATTCATACTGTATTCAGATTGAGAGATGAGTTTTCCTCATTGTACTTACGGGTCGAAGGCACCAAGGTCGGTCCATTGGATTGATATCCTGGTTTGCTGTATGTTGCTATGCTATAGTGATCTGTTGGATCTGTGTCGTGGTATATAGGATGTTGTTATGTTGTAGTGATCTGTTAGATATGTATTCTGGTATATAGGACGTTACTATGCTGTGGTCATCTGTTAGATCTGTATGACTACCTATATCTGCTAGCTATTGATTATTATGATGTTTGTTGATATGTGATGGTTTACTGGGTTGAGGCGGACCGGATGAGACTGAAGGCCAAGACACCCAGGGTGGTCTGGATAGACTGAAGGCCTGCGAGGCGGACCAGTCAGGCCGAAGGCCCAGAGAGCGGTCCAGATAGGCTGAAGGCCCGATGAGGCAGTCCAATCATGTTGAAGGCTCTGTATGCATGTTGTTGTTTATTATATTTATGTAGTGGCACTTTGGGGGAACTCACTAAGCGTTGGCTTACAATTTTAGTTTTGTCTTAGGTAATTCCGAGGACCGTGGCAAGGCGAAGGCGTGACCGTACACATCCTTGGTTTTATGTTGTTAGATATTGGGAGACTCCGATTTTAAATAATCTTTTTGGAAAACAATGGTTATGTAAACACTTTTTGAGTAAATGGGTTGTTTTTGAAAAGTTTAAATTTGTTGAGGTTTTTGAGACGTTACACGCCTTCTGGTGGTTCCGACTGCGACATCTTCTGGTGCATCCGACATGGTGGCTTCTTGCGGCTCCAACTATGGCGTCCAATGATCTAGTTTCGTAAATGTGAAGAGAAGAAGCCGTGTCTATGGTGTGTGTCTAGGGTTTATGGATATATTAAATGTAGGAAAGGAAAATGATTTATATTTTGCAGATTTTGTTCATCAAGTTGTAGATTTTGGGTTTCATATGGCAAACTAAGGAAAGATAGATAACTTGATAGTTTGTTGGTGGTTAGGGACGAAATGTGTAACTTTAATCGAATTACAAGGATGATTTTTGTAATTTAAATAAAGGGACATATGTCATTTTATGATCGGTACTCACCTATTAACCCTAATATGCATTTTCAATTGATTCCACACACACATATATATATATATATATATATATATATATATATATATATATATATTATATGGTGTTATGCATGCAAAGAGAGATAAATAAATAGACAATATCGTTTGATGCATGCGTGTGTTGAAGACACTATAAAGTTGCCGACCTGTAGTAATGGACAAAATATATATTTTAACTGAGTGATCACGTGGGTTCTTACAAGGGAAAATGAAACAACATGATATCAAATAATAATACATATATTTAATTGTTTTGAAAGTGACACATCACTTTTAAAAAGGGCATCATAATGTGACCGAAAGAAGAAAAGATATCGACTTTCCCATCTAGCTTTTGAACCGATTTACGAACCGATTTCACTGGTCCGAACTGCTTTACATAAGTTTGACTATTTTCATGTGAGAACTGGTTTAGGCCAAACCCGATTTTGACTATATTTACTAGAACCGAATCAAGTTGAAAAAACTGTTTGTGCATCTCTAAGTAGTGTCGAAAAATAACCCAATTTCATATTTGTGCATCTCTAACTAGTGTTTGAAAAATAACCCAATTTCATAGCCCATATGGTGAAATTGTAAGTGAAGAGGCCCAAATGGCATGTGAAAATAATGACTTGTGATTTGAATGACTAATTTTGATTGAAATAATAGTTTCTAGCTATTTCTAACTAAATCAATAGGTATTTTGGCTATATTTATAATTTTTTTTAATCTATTTTAACATATTACTAAAAAAGAAAAAGTAGAAAGTCTTGGATTATGATGAGGTAAAAGAGAAAAAAAAAGAGTACAAGTTTTGAGGAACCGAAGAATAGGGCAACGAAGTTCGAAATCTCCGAGTCCGATATCCTCTTTTAAAATGTGGGAGCGAGCGACGACACAAACACGACTCTGTGTTTTCACCGTTTCCGTTTCTGCTTTAAAACCCTAGAAAACCAGAGACAAGAACTTCCCAATTTTATCCTTAGGTTACGATTTACACACACGAGGGCTAGACATGGCTGCTTCACAGCGAGAGCAAGCGCTCTCTCTCCTGGCCGCTGCAAATAACCACGGAGATTTGGCGGTGAAGCTTTCGTCTTTGAAGCAAGCCAAAGATATTTTATTATCCGCGGATCTTTCGTTGCTTTCCGACGAACTATTCCCGTATTTGGTTGAGCTCCAGTCTTGTCATGAAGCCCTTGTCCGAAAAACCCTTGTCGAGTGAGTTTTCCATATGTTCAAATATCTTATAAGTTTCCTGTGAATTCGTGATGTAGTTGTAATTTCTTGACAATGCGTTGCCCTACAGAGGCGATATTTTCGTGGTAATGGATTATTGCAAGTGAAACGTCTTCTGTTTGTTGGGGATTCACGTGAAGATAACAAAATTTGGGATGGGTCGCAAGTTTATGCTTTAATTGGAACATCTGATAGCCCATGATTTTAACAATATAAGGGATTATTGAAATTCGTATTGGAACCGTTTACATTGACTGTCTTAATTTAGAACAAGGCATCAGAGTTTATAGGAATATTTATATAGCTCCCTCCGCCCCCAAAATAGTTACTTTCAAATCTTTATCATCTAGGTTGATATGGTGACTGATGTTCTTCATATAAAATTTATAGATGCACTCCACTTTTTAGCAAGTACAACACTTGTGGGAAATTTTGATGTTTAATTTGTAACAAGAGCCATAAAAGTTTTCAAATATAGTGGTACTAGCCTCGACATAAATATCAGTGTTACTAATACTGTTCTTTAGAGTTGATGGGGGTGATACTTCTGTTTTACTTTTTGGAAAGATTGTATTTATGAGGTGATACTTTTGTTTCATATAAGATTATTGGAGATAAAATTGGACATTTTTATGTAGTTTTATCATTGTAGATTCAAGGCTTTAATTATTGTAAGAAGAGTTCTCACATGACAAATAGTTCTAATATTTGTAGTTACTTTATATTATATATATATATATATATATATATATATATGTGTGTGTGTATGTATATATATGATAAGATTCCAGTGATTCTTTTGAAAGAAATTTCATACGAATGGAAGATTGAAGTTCAAAACACACATCACTGAAATTATGTCTCTGGTTTTATAGCTTTACAATATGGTTTTTTTCATGCTAATATGATCTTATGCTGTAATAGGGTGGTTGAGGAGATCAGTTTAAAAGCAATGGAGTATTCACAACTACTGATGCAAGTCTTGTTGACACTACTAACTGATCCTGATTCTGTTGTTGCGAGACAAGCCATTGTTGCTGGCACACATATCTTCTGTGAAGTGTTGGATGCGTTAGCTTTTCAGGTTTCTTTTGTCTATTTTCTTTTATCCCTATCTGTAGATACACACATGATTCTAGAGGCTTGAGCTTAATCTGAAATGTTTCCTGTACTGCTTTAATTGTACTCTTTTTATTTTATTTTATTGCAATTCTTGTACATGGAAGTTTTCTTGTGAATCTTATTTTATCTGGTTAGTCACATACTTGTGTAAAATGTGCCTCTCAGACTTCCACCTTGCAAATAATTGTTGATGAAATTTAAGAGATTTGGTATTGATTTTAAGAGAAGTTGAGCATAAGAACATTACTTCCCTGTTTTCTGTTTTTTAAGTTCCGTGCGTTTGTCAATTCCACTTGGTTTTAAAGATTTGGTTACTGATCATAGTGCTAGAGACAAAGATTTTTCAGCTGCACCCATAATTATGAAAACTTATAATATGCGAATGCCATATTTCTTGTGGCACCTACTACTCTACTAGTTTATATATATAGAAATCTGTTGTATTTGTGTCAGCTTTCTGTTGTATTTTCTTCTAGCTTTTGCCAGAATATGTGCATTCTTGCTTTACCTTGAAATCGTGAAACTTTATTTTGAAAAATTTATAGTTTCACCGGCATGGTATAGTGGAAAGATGGGTTGAAGAGATCTGGTCTTGGATGATGAAGTTTAAGGATTCTGTCTTCCAAGTTGCATTGGAGGTATTATGAATTTAGCTTTCAGTAATTGAATTTTGGAAAGTGCGATTGATTGATATTCATTATTAATATTGAACTTGCATTCGATTCTGTAGGCTAGGTCTGTTGGTCCAAGGCTGCTTGCTATAAAGTTTTTGGAAACTTGTGTATTGCTCTTCATGCCTGACAATGATTCTAGAGGGCATGCTACAGAAGGTATTGGCTATTTTTTTACATCAATGTTGAGGGGTTTGGTCTCTTTTTGTTGGTTGATATAACTGAGTCTTCTTTGGACATTGCTTTTGATGTAGCAGTTGCTAGAAGTGCACAGATGTTCAATATTTCATGGTTGTCTGGTGGTCACCCTGTTCTGGATTCAATTGCACTCCAGTCAGAAGCAAATAGATCCTTGTTGATTTTACTTGATTTGTTGAGGTCGCCTAGTCTTCTCCCCGGTTCCATTACAATTTCTATTATTAATAGGTGAGATACCATCCCCATTTGTCTGCTGCATTCAATAAACAAACATTTCCTGCATTGTCACTTGGCATTTTCTTAAAATTTGCATACCATGCAGTTGCTTTGTCTGGAAAGTTGATGGAAACAAATACATGTTTTTTTTTTTGTTATAAACTTACAGTGTTTAATTCTTGTTTGTTATTTGTTGAAGGAGAATGTCTCCTTTATTTATGCTTGGCATTCATCTTTGTTTGTTCCCATACTTAAGCAGACTACCATTATGTGCTCCTGAGATAGCTATTGATAGTTAGAGTTGTATTTATGTAGAAAAGGCGTATCTGTATCAGTTGATATTAGAATGTTGCAACTTGATTCTTTGACGAGGTTTTACAGTGACCAACAATGCTTATATTTTTCGTCAGTGAGATAAATTTCAATATTTTTTTTGGGATTTATGGAAATAAACTTACATGAAAAACAAATTGGCTTGGCATAAGTATCTCTGTTTCTAAAGTTAGAAGTGTTGTTGGAGGTGGAATCAGGTTGTAGTACAACTTGAAGTGCTCTTTTTGTAATATTGTTGCAGCAGTGTGCAAGGTCAATCAGATGGGCATGGAATGGAACTGCTGATGTCAGCACCGGCTTCTAGCAGGCAATTTTTGATAGCTTATTTGCTGAGGGGCTTTGGTAGCATAGCAATGCAGTTTATATCTTTTAAACTGTTCTCTCATTCATTTGCTGTGTATACATACATACAGCCCTTGTATTGTGACAAGGCTTCCTGTAAATTTAACTTAATCAACCTTTGGCATACATTGAATAACCATAATCAATTAAATATCTTTTTTTCTTTTTTCAATACTGTTGATGGCTGCTTCATTAAAATGTCCAATTGATGTTGGTTGTGGTGTTTTGTTACTTCATTTTGTTTGTCAGATCTTTGTTATTTAGGAATGTGGTCTTTCTCGTATCCTGTTTTTAAAATGCACTCGACAGGTCCTCACCTGTTATCAACCAAATAAATTTTTTTTTTTTTTTACTTCAGATCTCAAATTCTCACTTCTACTGATGTTAATCAAAGGTTTCTCTCTTGCACAAAAGGTTTTTTTTTTTTTTGTTTTTTTGCTGTGCCCAGAGAAGGCATGAATAATAATGTTGATGCATTATGTTTTCATCCAGATTTTCTGAAATAAAGTTAGGATGCTGCTGCTTTCTGAAGCTGCACTTCATCTGCATTAATGAAGTCATCATTTTTATAATAAAAAAACTAATATATAATGTATTTGAATCTGAGGAAATTCTGGAAGGGTAGTGAGTTGTTGAGTACAAATGCTGCAGGCACTGGCTGGGACTATCAAAGTAAATGAAGATTTTTCATGATTGTTGTATTGTGTTTTTTCATCATTTCATTTTTGAGAAACTCCACATGCATACAACAATGTGGTTCATTTTTCCAGTGGTAACATTGTTGACAAAAGGAGTTATATCATTCAGGTTCAAGAATATTAATTGACAAAAATCTATTACATTTTCCAAGGAAGCATGGTGTTTATGATCTTTGGGGACTGTCACTGCAGCTGTTCCATAATTTTTGAAATTTATGAACACTTATTATGCTCAATATACCATATTAGTTGTCCTCGAGCTGTATTTATTTGTGTCTGAATCCTGTAATAATGAAAGTTAGTGTCCTAAAAATGAAGGTTGAACAGCAGTTTCTGCAATTTAAACTAAAACTACTATCTGTTTTCTGCTTGTTGTGTTGTGCAAGTATTTTGTAGGGCTTGACAATGTGCTATTATAACTCCTGAAAACTTGTACTACATATGTTGAATATTTGTATTTGTTGAATTTATGGCACTCCATAAGTAATTAACAAACCTTGATGTATCTAGCATAGCAAGCTGTTTCTTTGATGCCCATCTAATTTTATGTTGAACCTCAACACCTTTTTTTTTTTGTATTTTGTTTTTCAGTCTTGCTATCATAGCTCGGAGGAGGCCTGTTCACTATAGCTCTGTTGTTTCTGCACTCGTTGATTTTGATGGTAATTTCATAGCAAAAGGAGCCCATAATGCCAGCATACAGTATTCTTTACGAACTGCTTACTTGGGATTCTTGAGGTGCACACACCCTGTTATCATGGAGGTAATTATAAATATATATATATATATTTTTCTTATACTATAATACTAGTATTGGGTAGTGCTGACTCATTGGTTTAAACTGAAATCAGTCGAGAGACAAGTTGCTCAAGATTTTGCGGGCAATGAATGCTGGTGATGCAGCTGACCAGGTGATGCGTCAGGTTGATAAAATGCTCAGAAATAGCGCCCGTGATGCTCGGGCAAACAAGGTACATCTCTCTCTTTGACTCATTGGTTTAATCTGATTGCTTTTTGTTTTGTGCTTATTTTTTTTCTTTAATCCTCTTCAGGATGAGCAACAACCATCAAGCCATATGCTTATGTCAGGTGGTGACATGGCAAGGAAACGGTCAACTCCTATGGATCAAGAACATACCGATTCATCTTCAAAAAGGAGTCGTTATGCTTCTAATGGTAGTGATGATCACTCAGTAAATGGTGTATCAGCCAAGATGCCACCATTAGATAATGGTCTCAGCCCTGTTGAACAAATGATTGCCATGATTGGAGCTTTACTTGCTGAAGGAGAGAGAGGTGCTGAATCTCTTGAAATCCTTATATCCCAGATACATCCTGATCTTCTAGCCGACATTGTTGTTACAAACATGAAACATTTACCAAAAAGCCCTCCCCCATTAACCAGACTTAGCAGCCAGCCAGTACCCCGACCTAGTGCCACCAGCACACCGTTGTCTCCTACACCCACTTCCAATACTCTTCTGCAAGCAGATCCTAAACGTGATTCACGAAGGGTGAGTTTAAGTTTTGTCATATCATATCATTATTTTATTGAGTTAAAAGTTGAACATGCATGATGTTTACAGGATCCTCGTCGCCATGACCCAAGGCGTGTTGTTGGAACCCCATCAGATCATATTGTGGAAGATGCTGCACAATCTGGTCTACCAGAGTCTGATTTTGATGCCTCTGTTCTGTTTAGACAACCACAACCTACTCCACCTGTTGAAGATAAATCAGAAATTCTTATACCCAAAATAGAAACCAAGTTTCATACCCCAGAAAATCAATCATCTTTTAAGGAGCAGGTTCCCAATGAACAAGTTGGTTCTGATGAGAAATTGAATATTGTTTCAGATGTAGCAATTTCTTCTGTTGACTCACATGAACAAAAGTCAACGGATGTTATTACAATGACAGATGAAGGCCACCTGCCATCATCTTCATTCATGGATGAGGATCAGCTCTCACCACCAGGCAGAGTGGAGACACCTGTCATGGAGGAAACATCTGTTGATTTACCTGCGGTTCCATCTTATGTGGAATTGACTGAAGAACAGCAAAGAGATGCAAGGAAAATGGCAATCAAAAGGATTATAGACTCTTATAAGCAGTTAAGAGGGGCAGAGTTTATGCAGACACGCATGGCATTGCTTTCTCGACTGGTTGCTCAGGTGGGGGTAGACTCCTCTTTTGATTGGTTAACATTTCTCCAGTTTAACTGCTTTTCTTGTTTCTCCTTTGGGGAGATATTCTTATTGTTTCTAACTTTCTTTTACTTATTATTACGTATGAGTACCGGATCTTTATTTATAATGTATGATAATGATAATTTTGTAAAAGAATCCATGACGCGTTTTATATGTGAGGTAATATAATAATATAATTGATTTTTGCATGTGTAATGCGGTTCATGTTGTGGTGTGTCATGCTCAAATCATTCTTATCTGATATATTCTTATCATGGGACCTTATATAAACAACATCCATTACTTTAACTTACAAGTAATAAGGTCAAACATCAAAAACATTTCTAAAAAACTGAATGTATTAGCTAAATAACTTGGCCTTATACATAAAGTTATTCAATTATTTTTCCCAAGTAATTTGTAAACTGGAAATAGCAAGTTATCAGGTTGGTTGTGAACAGGGGCTTATAGTTGACAGAGAAATATTGTACTTGATGCTTCTGCTGCTTATTTTTTAGGAAAAGATGACAGGAACATGTATAAGGTCATAGTTAGCCGAACAAAGAATTTTGTGGAACACTTGCAGATTTGTGTTCATTTGCCAACTGAACAGAAGAGATAACAAGTATTATAATGATAGGGGCGTGGGGGTCATTTTTTTTTTTTTAATATATATATATAACTTGCAAGTAAAAATGCATAAATGACTGGTACTGTGCATTACTGATTTAAGTGCAAACCTGACAGTTCTGGAGGAACAGAGATTGTAAGTGAAGGATGTACAAGAACCATCTATTTATATTTTATAATGTGAAACTTGTTAAATTCTCAATCTGCTGATAGAGAAAACATATTATAATGTGAAACTGCATTTGTGACATGTTGGCAACATCAGAGGCAGAATGCATATCTTTCTTGTTATCTAAATCGGTATCTTTGACCAAATTTCTTTCAATACAAAGAGTGAATATGGAAAGATGGCAATACTAAAAGCCTTGTACCAATCTTTGAAATTTGCATCAACATAAGCAATGTTTTCTTGAGGCAGCAGTAGATAATTTCTGCATTTGTTGTGCTGTCTGCAGGTTGATGCTGACGATGATGTGATTTTAATGATGCAAAAGCATATTGTCTCAGACTACCAGCATCAGAAGGTATATATATTCTTTTCAAAATATCATTATATAATTGATGTTATTTATTTTTGTGTTTTAATTAATATACATTTTCATGATTGCACCTTAACCAGGGGCATGAGCTTGTAATGCATGTGCTATACCACCTCCATGCTGTCAGGGTGTCAGATTCAGCCCAAGACTCTTCAGGGGCCCTTGTATATGAGAAGTTCCTTCTGGGAGTGGTAAGAACTTGCTATTTAATTGATCCACATAAAACTTTTAAACTCCCTTTTTCTTAAAAAAAAAAAAAGTATGAGATTGAGTATCAAGCACTATATTTTTGTAGGCTAAATGTCTGCTGGATGCCTTACCAGCAAGTGATAAGTCGTTGAGCAGACTTTTTAGTGAAGCTCCTTTTTTACCTGAGTCTGCATTTGAGCTTCTTGATGAGATATGCTGCTCAGATAATAACTGTGGAAAAGATATTCGTGATGGTGATCGTGTCACTCAAGGTCTTGGTTCTTTATGGAGCTTGATTTTAGGGCGTCCTCATGAGCGTCAGGCCTTTTTGGATATTGCCTTGAAGGTTAAATTTTCTATTAGTTTTTAATTTTTTGAAATAAATGTATTTCTCCTCACTTTGATGCATCTTGAAATGCAGTGTGCTGTTCATCCTAAAGATGACATCCGTGCAAAAGCTATAAGACTGGTAAAACTTGTAATTTTTTTCTTTTTTTTTGATGCACAAAGTCAAAACTACTTGATGATTGAGTTTGTTGTTTGATGTATCTGTTGTCAGGTGGCAAACAAACTTTATGTAATTAGTTTCATCTCGGAGAAAATTGAGGATTTTGCCACAAACAAATTGCTCTCGGCTGTTAACAGAGGTGCTGAGCTGTCAGTTTGTGGGGCCAATGAACAAAGACCTGAAGGGCAGGTGTGCTACTGCTATGTTTAATCATCAACTCTTGTATGGTAATGGTGTATATGTATTGAATTGAAATGCTTGATCCATTTTCAGATGGGAAATCAAGAAACATCAGTTAGTGGGTCTCAAGTTTCAGAGCCAGGAACTTCTGAAAGCGAGTCAATGTCACCTGCACAAGCTCAACAACACCTTTCTTTGTTTTTTGCTTTATGCACCAAGGTTAGCTTTCATGCAGTGACTTCTTTGCTTGTGTGTTTTTTTTAATAGTTTCAGTTTGTTACATACTAATACTAATGCTGATTTTTGCAGAAACCTAGTCTTCTTCAACTTGTATTTGACAAATATGATCATGCTCCAAAGGCAGTTAAGCAGGTAGGATTTTTTTTTTTCTTGTTGAAATTTTGTGATAAACAGATGTTTTGATTAATTTTGTTTCACTTTCTTTCTGATATAATGCACAGGCTATTCATCGCCATGTTCCAATACTTATCCGGGCTTTAGGCCCATCATATTCTGATTTACTCTCCATAATATCTGATCCACCTCAAGGAAGTGAAAACCTCCTGACACAGGTGTGTTTAATTAATCTTTAAAGCTTTTGTTGTATGCTTTGTTTTTCTTACTTTCGTTGTGTTGATATAATTTTATGGTGGGGGTTGTACAAGGTGCTTCATGTTCTATGTGAAGGGACGACTCCTTCGGCCGATTTAATCGCAACTGTCAAGCGTTTATACGAAACTAAACTTAAGGTGATATGAATTTCCCACTGCTTTTTTTTTTGTTTATAAAAAAAATAAAATAAAAATAAATGCGATGATGTTTTTGCAATATTGTGTTTACATGGAATGGATTGGTATTTCTGTCTTGCAGGATGCTGCAATACTTATTCCAATATTGTCTTCCTTTACCAAGAATGAGGTTTTGCCTATTTTCCCACGTCTTGTTCAGCTTCCATTGGACAAGTTTCAGACAGCACTGGCCCACATACTGCAGGTTTCAATTTTTTTGTGGTTCCACATTAAGTATAACTGAAGTAGTATAATAATAATAATAGAATAGAAAGTAGTTACCTAGAAATTTTGTTGTTGGTGTGCGCAGGGTTCAGCTCATATGGGGCCCGCACTGACACCAGCAGAAGTATTGGTGGCAATCCATGACATTAGCCCTGAGAAGGATGGTGTTCCACTAAAAAAGGCATGCTCTGCTCATTCATCATATCTCATATTCATTATATCAGTTGTCAAAATCCATGAGCCATTTTTCAAACTTTTTTGCAGATAATGGATGCTTGTTCAGCTTGTTTTGAGCAGCGTACTGTTTTCACACAGCAAGTCCTAGCAAAAGCATTGAACCAAATGGTGTTATTTCTGTTTTCAACTTACAAGAAAGTTAATTTTGTCATGTCATGTCATGTCATGTGTTGAGAATACTTACTAAAGTTGATCTTTAGGTTGATCAAACACCTTTACCTCTTCTGTTCATGAGGACAGTAATCCAGGCGATGGATGCTTTTCCCAAACTGGTATGGCATTTTAGATCCCATCATCTTAATCTTAACTTGGTTGACTTTGTTTATCAGTTTGTAACTTGTGGTTTGGTTTCATAATATTCATAATCAGGTTGACTTTGTTATGGAGCTACTTTCCAAGCTCGTAAGTAAACAGGTGAGCTACTTGTGTTTGTAATTGTATGATCATAAAATATATATACATATATTTATAGGAAATAAGATGGAATAAATGGTTGTGGTTGTGTACAGGTATGGAGGATGCCGAAATTGTGGGTTGGATTTCTGAAATGCATTTCACAAACACAGCCACATTCTTTTCGTGTATTATTACAAGTATGTATCTTTTCCCCCGTTGTTCACTTTCACTTTCACATTTTGTATTTGATTTGGTTTGGTTTATATTAAGTTAAGGGTTATCTACAGAAAAGTCCCAAACTTTTTTCAAAAGTTTCAATAAAGTCCTAAAAGATTTTTTTTGAACAGAAAAGTCCAAATATTTTGATTTTTTGCCTAAATTAACGAAAAAGTCCTTATTTATATTTGAACAACAAATGATAGATTATATGATTTTTTCAAAATATTGGGACTTTTCTGTTCAAAAAAAAACTTTTAGGACTTTATTGAAACTTTTGAAAAAAGTTTGGGACTTTTATGTAGATAACCCTAATAAATTTTATCTGAAATATGATTGTTGACTTGTTGATAATTGCAGTTGCCTTCACCACAGCTTGAGGGTGCTCTGAACAAGTATGGTAGCCTACGAGGTCCCCTTGCTGCATATGCCAATCAACCTAATATCAAATCCTCCTTGCCTAGGTTCCTACACCTACCTACCCTACCTTTTTAAATCAAAATTCCAATTAGTTATTATATAGAAATAATTTAGTTTAATAGTAGTCGATTTGTCCTTGTGATATTTGTTTTATTAGGTCAACTCTACAAGCTCTTGGTCTTGGTCTTGAAACTGAAAATCTTGCTTCTTCTTTCAACAACCCAGCAGACAAAAGTGCAAAAGGGCCCAACGTCACAATCATACATACTTGAAGGACTTGGATTGCCTTTGTTTTTCATAACCAATTACCAGTCGGTGTACAAAGAGGCATGACCCCAGCCCACCCTTGCTACTTTCTTTCTCAGAGTAAATATAGTTCAAGATAGCAGCAATCGCATCCTCTCTCACATGTTGGTCTTACCATCTCTCTCTCTCTCTCTCTCTCTCTCTCTCTCTCTGGAAGTGTATCATCCCTTAATTCGTTATGTTTTGTAGTATTTCATTCAGTAGACTAGTGAGTGAGCTCTTTCTTCCTCTCTTAAGGACCTTTTTGTCTTCTCAAACTACTACATTATCTATCTGTAAAATGCTTGCAATTTAATTAGGGCCATCTTAAAAACTCAAACTCAATCCACACATTTTGCCAACTTTTCAAAAATTTCACTCTTTTATTTATCAGATACATCAATTCTTATTCAACAACACTTTCACTTTCAGGGAAATGTTGTCAAATCAACATTCACAGCGATCCTAAAAAATCAACATTCTCTAGTGTATAGTTAGTGCGCAGTGTGCTTACACTTGCAACTACTAACCATCGATCATGAAATAACCTGTCTTATACATGCATATATACACACTATTTTTTACTAGTATTTCAAAACACAACTCTTTTCTGAAACCGACAGACACAACCCATGCATCAAAACTTGCTCATAATTTGTCAACTCTCCATGGAAAATCACCTATGCCCGCCCCTAATTATAACACTTGCTCCATTTCCATCGATCATCTATGGTTGTAGGCTTGTACCCTAAACCACCGTCACATGTGCTTCATGCGCATGATTAATATAACTGCGCATGATTAGTGATAGAAACCAGAATGCAATAACAGATAATCAAACCAGAATATGGGATATATAGAATCTAGAAAGCTATTTGATTACTCAATGAAATGAAAATAGAACAAAATCAGTGAAGACCCAAATGGTTCTTCCTGCCCTAATCAGAGAGTCCCTTCAAAGGGACAACCCTGCCCAAGCTAATGCCGAAGACTCAAAATGCAAAATGCAAAAGACTAAATGATCCATAACCTAAGACTACAGTTATTTATACTAGTCTCCGGATCGGGTGTAAAACAGAAAATATAAATATTACAATTTGGTCCCTCCACTTTTCCTTTCTTTTATATAAGACCCATTCTTTGTCATATTCTCTATCAATTAGTATAACGTGATAAAATAAACAACTTATATTTAAAGTAGACTTACAAGGAAAATATGACATATCAATGACTTTGAATTAATTATTCTTTAAAGTAACACAAAACAAACAATCATATATAACATATTTAATTAAATATTATACATCCACCTATATAAGATATGACCGATAATATGTATTTGATTTAATTTACAATGATAATTCAACCATAACATACATCGATTGTATTAAAAGTATAATAAAACCAAGAAAAATATATAAAAATAATTAGTCTATAAACAAATTTTCAAATTAAAAGTTCTAACATTATAACATGCTTTTAAAAATGGTTAAAAAACCTCAAATCAACACAAAAACCTTTTCATTTGTTTTCTTTGTGAGTATGTGATTTGTATGTGTGTCTACTCAAAAAATGGGTGTTTTTATAGTAAACTATCCATTAAGTGCTTATATATATATATATATATATATATATATATATAATATATATATATATATGTATATATATATAGAGAGAGAGAGAGAGAACCCAATAACTCCTAATTTGACCAACATTTTTCGAAACCACCACCATCATTGGACTTGATGTGGATATATGCACATCTGAATATGCATCAAATGTGCATATATGCAAATTTATTTTTTTGTGTTTTTTTGACGTTTTCAAGTTGCAATTCTTTTAAACGTTAGCCTTCAAATCCAGTGATTGTGTTGGTTTTGAAAAATTCAAAATGTATATATATATATATATATATATAGATATATATATATATAATATATATATATATATATATATATATATATATATATATATATATATATAGGGTTAGGTTCATATGAGACGGTCTAATTTTGTGAGACCGTGAGACACAATCCTAGCCACTCATTTAGTAGATAAAAAAAACATTTTTAAAATGCAAAATAATTGAAAATTTTCGAATTTTTTTTTCAAATATTATTTTCGGAATTTATATTTTCTAAAAATAAAAAAATAAAAAAAAAACCAAAAAAATAAAAAATAAATAAATAATTTTTTTTTACATATTCTAGTAGAATATTAAAATATTCTACATATCTGACAAATCTAATATAATATTCTAACATTCTAAAAATCACATTAGAATATTTACAGTGTAATATTCTATTAGAATATTTCACGTATTTTTAAAAAAAAAACGGTAATTTTTTTTAGGTAATTAAAGTTCCGAAAATAATAATAAAAAAAAGAATTTTTTGATTTTTCCTTTTATTTTGAATTTTAAAATTATTTTTAGATTTGGTTTTACGGTCTCACAAAATTAGCATGGTCTCAAATGAACTTGAACTATATATATATATATATATATATATATATATATATATATATATATATATATATATATATATATATATATATATATATATATATATATATATATATATATACTTTTTGGCAACATTTGTTTTTTTTCGTAAGATTTAGTTATAGTAAACTATTTAGGATATTGAGTTTTTAAGATAATATGGTTAAAAAGGTAAATTCATGCATAGTGATGATTGATGAGACAAGAAGATAAAATATGGTACATGAGTCTGTACATGTCCTACTACTAAAAGATAAGAAAAAAATGTCCTAATGCTTTGTCACCATTTTCAGGTAACTAGTAACTAGTAGTGGTAGTGTACATTGAAAAAGAAACTTTACTTTGTCTGTCTGCCTCATGTTATCCAAGTGTACCACCAGTACGAGTTAAGGAAGATTTTCCTTCATTTGATTTGTGAATGAATTGACTAAATAGCTAATAACTACGGGTCAAAAGAGTTAGTGCTCTTAAATAATAATCAAGTTTGTATTTTATTTTAGGGACATTTATAAAAATGACCATTAGAAACAAACTCATAATACAAAATTAGGTTTGCAAAATTGACTGCGAATTTTGAAACATTCTATTCTGAACTATTCAATTTTGTGAATTGGTGAGACATGGCATGAAGGTCTTCCAGAATGTAACATGTCATAGTAAATGTACATTCCATACCGACCGTTTGAACCTTTTGGACCGACTCTCAAACATTTCGGAATGTCCTTTATTCCATATTAAGATTCTGGACAACATAATTCAAATGTTTATTTTGATCTTTATATTTATCATTACATTAGGTTCAGGTGAACCATAAATATCATGGCCTTCTAAATGTCCATTATTGCTAAACAAGGTCTTCAACTTCATATGCAAATATATGTCAAACTAATATGTTAGGCTTGGAGAGCCTAATGAGTAATACCAAATCCGACTATGGAATGGAATTATGAACAACAATACCCAATTTTTAAGTCTAGATTCCAAAATATATTTAAAAAACCTTTTCTTTCAAATTAACAAACATTTTCCAAAATAAACCATTTCCTTGTATTACAAGTCATTTCCATAATCATATAATAATAATACTGATATAGTTAAGAATTTATGATAAGTGCATTAAATAAAAATCATACAAATACATATGCAACTAACCCAAACCTAATCCACTACTCATATGTAAGTCATTTTCAACTAGGATCTCGATGACCTCTTTGTCCTAGACCGGGTAGTAGCATAACACTAAACTCATTGCCGACCACTAAGGTTAACTTTTAAATTCATGACAATCCCATGAATGACCAAGGAATGGGTTTTCCAAGTCCATCCCCGCGACCACAAAGGTTAACAATCACTAAGGTCAAATAAGGGAGTTGATCCCTTCATGTGCCCGAACACTCGCACGTCAACCCACTAGCATGCAATGCACAAGTAAGGATGCCATGCATACATATGCCATAAGACCACATAACATTCAAGGTTATTTTAGTATAATCAATACTTAAATTTTTTCAAGTAGTATAATATGAGACATGTACTTTGGGTATGTACTCACCTTAGTGCAATTCTAGGCTTTCAATACCTCCTTCCTTCTTTGAGTATTGGTTAAAATTCAAATTTCATATCAACTTGTTTTTAGAAGAACTCTTCCCTCTTTAGAATGTCTCTTCAGTATCAACTTCTTCTATCCACCAACACGCCATGTAATTCCTAAGGGATGCATCACATTCTCTATACAACACATTTCAAGTTAATTTTCCTTTTAAAGGCAATGTACTGATTCACAAGTTCTATACTTCATTTTAATCAAACTTAATACCTTCAAATAACTTCCTAATCATGCATTTAACATATTTCACAACTTCATAATCCATTTCAAGTGTTATATTAAATAATTTCCTTAATATGAATCACAAATTCCATTCTTCGGTTGTTTTAGAAGCAAAATTTTGCTTAAAACATCATAGATTACTTTGGATCAAGAGCTTTTCCATACAAATACTTTATAATCATAAAATTATGCTACATATAGGATTCTCATCCGTTTCTTCATTTGAAATTAAACATCCACAAATCATAAATTCCTTTAGATAGGGGTTTGGGGAAGTAGATTCGACATCTATGCTTCTATGAGCGATTGTGTCACATTGATGACCTCCAACATGTACACCAATGTGAATATGTAAATGAAGAAAACAATAGGATATTAACTATATGAATCATACATGATTTCATATCCTAGCAAAGGCATATGAATTCGAGAACCTGTAAATGAGGCAAACAAGGAAAGAGTAAGTCACTATGAGTAGTAAAATATGAACATGGATAAACCAAAACATAAGCTTATGAGTAAGAAGAATATATCCATGATAAATATAAGAAATCAAGGCATCCAAAAGGGATAAGCTACTCATATATCTTGATACTCACCCTTCAAACCCTCATATACGAAGTCATGTGATTGGAAATAACAAGCTCTCCCATATCTAGACTCACATTATATTCACACTTCCTTCTAGGATGTCGTATCCTTCTATTACCATCAATAATCATCGACTCCACTCTCCTTATCATTGTTGATGTTAGTCTCGTTTACATGTCTATGCCACCTTAATCATCTCTACTTTTGTTTTGGTGATCTATGGCCGATCAACCCCC